TGGGAGAGGGAGAAGCAGGCTTCCCGCCGAGCAGGGAGCCTGATGTGGGACTCGATCCCAGGACCCCGGGATCATGACCTGAGCCGAAGGCAGACGCTTAACGACTGAGCCACCCAGGCGCCCGATTTCATTCTTTTTTATGGCTGAGTAATAATCCATAGTGTATGGGTGTGTACACCACATCATCTTTATCCATTCATCAATCAGTGGATGCTTGGGCAGTTTTCATAATTTGGTTATTGTAGATAATGCTGCTGTAAACATTGGGGTCCATGTATCCCTTTGAATTAGTATTTTTGTATTCTTTGGGTAAATACCTAGTATTGTGATTGCTGAATCATAGGGTAGTTCTGTTTTTAACTTTGAGAAACCTCTGCTGTTTTCCATAGTGGCTGCACCAGTTTGCATTGCCACCAACAGTGCACGAGGTTTCCATTTTCTCCACATCCTCGCCAATACCTGTTGTTTCTTGTGTTGTTGATTTTAGCCATATTCTGACAGGTATGAGGTGATACCTCATTGTAGTTTTGATTTGCATTTGCCTGATGATCAGTGATGTTGAGCATCTTTTCACATGTCTGTTAGCCATTTGTATGTCTTCTCTGGAAAAATGTCTATTCATGTCTTCTGCCCATTTCCTAACTGGATTATTTGTTTTTGGGGGTATTAGTAAGTTCTTTATAGATTTTCGGATGCTAACCCCTGATCAGATAGAACTTTTGCAAATACCTTCTCCCATTCCATAGGTTGCCTTTTAGTTTTGTTGATTGTTTCCTTTGTTGTGGAGAAGCTTTTTATTTTGATGTAGTCCCAATAGTTCATTTTTTATTTTGTTTCTCTTGTGTCTGGAGACATACCTAGAAAGAAGTTGCTACAGCTAATGTCAAAGAAGTTACTGCCTGTGTTCTCTTCTAGGATTTTTATGGTTTCCGTTCTCACATTTAGTTCTTTATTCTGAATTTATTTTTGTGTATGGTGTAAGTGGTCCAGTTTCATTCTTTTCCATGTAGCTATGCAGTTTTCCCAACACCATTTGTTGAAGAGACATTCTTTTTCCCATGTCATTATATTTTGATGAGGATTTCCTGGATGCAGCACTAAAAGCATAGGCAACAGTAGTAAAAGTGAACAAATTACAGTACGTTAAAATCTAAGACATCTAAGAACACAGAATGAAAAGCCAGCCTACAGAATGGGAGAAAATATTTACAAATCATATTTCTGATATGGGGTTAATGAAGAACTGCAGCTCAACAACAAAAATACAAAAAACCCAATTAAAAATGGGCAAAGGACTTCAGTACACATTTCTCCAGAGATAATATGCAGATGGCCAACAAGCATATAAAAAGACAGTCGTGGCACCTGGGTGGCTCAGTCATTTAAGCAGCCAACTCTTTGTTTTGGCTCAGGTCATGATCAGGATCCCTGGGATCAAGCCCCCAGCTGTCTCCGCACTGAGCAGGAAGTCTGCTTGTGATAGTCTCTCTCCCATTGTCCCTCCCCTCGCTGGTGCTCGTTCTCTCTTTCTCTTTCTCTCTCAAGTAAATCTTCAAAAAAAGAGAGAGAGAAAAGATACTCAACATCACTAATAATTAGGGAAATGCAAATCAAAACCACAGTGAGCTATCACACCCATTAGAATGGTTACTGAATTTCAAAAAAGAAAAAAGTTTTTGCAAGAGTGTGGGGAAATTGGAACCTTTGTATATATTGTTGGTGGGAATGTAAAATGATGCAGTTACTATGGAAAAGAGTATGGTGATTCCTCAGGAAATTAAAAATGATCCATCATTCCAAAAGAATAGAAAGCAGGGGATATATATAGATATCTGTATATATAGATATATATCCTGGGTATATATCCAAAGGAATTGGAAGCAGGGTCTCAAATATGTACACACCACTGTTCATAATAGCCAAGAGGTAGAAGCAACCCAGATATCTATCCATTGACAGATGAATGGATAAACAAAATATGTTTTTATATGCAGTGGAATATTATGTAGCCTTAAAAAGGAAGTCCTGACTAGCAAAGCATGGGTGAACCTTGAGGACATGCTAAGTGAAATAAGCTAATCATAAAAAGTCAAATACTATATGATTCCACTTATTTAAGGCCTTTTGTGGAGTCAGATTCACAGAAACAAACAGAATAGTGGTTGCCAGTGGCAGGAAGTTGGGGAGTTGTTTTTGGTTTTTTTTTTTATTTATTTGAGAGAGAGAGAATGAGAGACAGAGAGCAGGAGAGGGAGGAGGGTCAGAGGGAGAAGCAGACTCCCCGCTGAGCAGGGAGCCTGATGCAGGACTCGATCCCGGGACTCCAGGATCATGACCTGAGCCGAAGGCAGTCGCTTAACCAACTGAGCCACCCAGGCGCCCGGGGAGTTGTTTTTTTAATGGGTATAGAGTTTTAATTTTGGAAAGATGAGTAAGTTTTGGAGGTTGGTTGTACAACAGTGTGAACATATTTAACACTACTGAATGGTATAGTTAGAAATGGTTAAGATGGTAAGTTTTCTGGTATACCTTTTATCACAATAAAAAAATAATGTTTAAAAAAGTCACTATTAGGGGCGCCTGGGTGGCTCAGACAGTTAAGCATCTGCCTTCGGCTCAGGTCATGGTGCCAGGGTCCCAGGATGGGAGTCTGCTTCTCCCTTTCCCTCTGCCCCTCCCCCTCTGCTCATGCTCTCTCACTTTCTCACAAATAAATAAAATCTTAAAAAAAAAAAAAGTCACTGTTAAACGTTGTGTTTTAATTATAGTCAGTCTTTTTTTTAAAAGTGACCTAGGGGTACCTGGCTGACTCAGTTGGTGGATCATGTGACTCTTGATCTTGGGATCATTAGTTCAAGCCCCACATTGGGGATAGAGATTACTTAATAAATAAAAGTTAGGGGGGGCGCCTGGGTGGCTCAGTTGGCTAAGTGACTGCCTTCGGCTCAGGTCATGATCCGGGAGTCCCAGGATCGAGTCCCGCATCGGGCTCCCTGCTCAGCAGGGAGTCTGCTTCTCCCTCTGACCCTCCCCCCTCCCATGTGCTCTCTCTCTCTCTCTCTCATTCTCACTCTCTCAAATAAATAAATAAAATCTTAAAAATAAATAAATAAATAAAAGTTAGGAAAAAAGTCATCTATTACTAAGTGCTGATCACTCTACTAGGTGCAAGGCATATAGAATGAATAGATTACCGTCCTTGATCTCACATATTGATATTAGAAGGTGTACATTACTGCTGTTATAGTCATCTTCAAACTCATTACTTTTACTTAATGGTTAATATTATGGTGTTCCTGATGTCTCATTCTGCAAGCATTTGTTATTAATCAGTGGTAGTTGCTGCTTTATTAATGTTGTTTTTAAGTACAGTAGCGCTTTAAGACCTTCACTAAGACTTAGGTTTTAGTATTTGACTATTAGGACTGGATTTGGTCAAGGCTGCATAGTGTAAGTGTTAACTAAAATTTCATTGGAAATAATTGATGTGCTATGGTAGTTCAAAATGAATGGAGTTTGACTCTTGAACCAGATATTGAGCTAGTTGATGGTGGGGGTAATTCCTTGCTTTTGAGCTTATCTACCCTGGGAAGCAAGAGTCAAGTTTATGAAATATCTGCAAATTCCAAAGTAACACAGGTACCTTTATTTGCTATTTATATAGATGCTACTTGGGTGTCTGGTCTTAAATATGGAACATTTATACTTTATGTGGTTGTACATTGCAGGAAGGCTGAAGTTACACTGGATGGAGTTTGGCCAACAGATAAAACATCTCGTTGTTTAATTAAGAGCCCAGATCGACTTGCTGATATCAACTATGAGGGCAGATTGGAAGCAGTTTCAAGGAAACAGGGAGCTCAATTCAAAGAGTACCGTCCTGAAACGGGTTCTTGGGTGTTTAAGGTATAATAGTCACTTAACCTAGTTCTTAAAAATTGTGGTTAGAGTGACAAAATGTGTTATAAGTGGTCCTCTCTTAAATTTTTTTTTTTTTTTTTTTTTTTACAAATTAGGAAACATACAGAGATGCATCATGATTTGCTCCAGATTTTTTTTTTTTTAAGATTTTATTTATTTATATGACAGCACACAGCAGGGGGAACAGCAGAGGGAGAGGGAGAAGCAGGTTCCCTGTGGAGCAAGGAGCCCCATGTGGGGCTTGATCCCAGGACCCTGGGATCATGACCTGAGCTGAAGGCAGCCACTTAACTGACTGAGCCACCCCAGAACAATAAGACGCTATTAAAAACTTTATGCTCATGATTCACATCCTCTTCCTCATCCTATAAGCATTTAGATACACTTCTAAGGAGTGTTTTTTCAATGTGTGGCATCATTAGAGGCATGAGGCAGAATTTGTCTCTTGATATTAACTCTTCCTCAGTTGTCATTCATTTAAAGATTTCTGGGGATGAAGATGTTGACTTCCTTCCTTGATAGTTTAACCTAATGGTTTCTTTCTCTTCTAAGCCACTTGGATTATTTAACTAGTTGAAGGTCCGACACAAGTTAATAGCGAAAAACTAGGCAGGATATAGATGTGAAAATAGTAATGGCTTTTCTAGATTTGGTTTCCTATATTAATAAGTTAGTATTTGTATATAAGCAACTTGTACGAAACATCTAAATCTAAGGGTAGCAGTAAATTACATGTGATAGATGACATTTCATTCTGCCTTAAATATTTTGATAGTTCTCTCTTTTTTTTTTTAAAGCTAATTCTGCATGATTGCAAGGGCAAGTATTATGGAAGCTTTTAGGAATATAAGTGTTAAAATTGATTTTGTTGGTTCTGGGATGCCTGGCTGGCTCAGTTGGTAGAGCATGCAACTCTTGATCTCAGGGTTGTAAGTTTGAGGCCCACATTGGGTGTAGAGTTTACTTAAAAATAAAATCTTTAAAAAAAATTGATTTTGTTGTATTCTTCTTTTCCTTAGGTCTCCCATTTTTCTAAGTATGGCCTTCAGGATTCTGATGAAGAGGAGGAGGAACGGCCATCTAAAACTAGTACAAAGAAGTTGAAGACTGCCCCTTTGCCTCCTGCAGGCCAGGCCACCCCATTCCAGATGGCTCTTAATGGCAAGCCAGCACCTCCACCCCAGGTAGAGACAGGACAGTGAATTTGAATGGAATCCATGATACAGAAGTTGAAAGGAAGTCATTCAGCTAGTACAAAGCTGTTTATGACCCCTGGAACTTTGAAGAGTACAAATGTATTGGCAATCACGTTGAGACAAGTACCAGGGAGGGCATGAGGTGGTCCTGGCATCTGTTCTTAAATTGAGAGATTTAAAGAATTCTCATGCTGTTTGGATCATTCCTTCTACAGATTGTCATTCTTAAACATCTCCCTCTCTTTCATTTGGACTTGCTGAATTCTCTGCTCAGTGATCAACTTAAGATAGCATTTTGTTTGTGTGGGTTGATACAAAGTAAATCTTATTTTCCTTGACTACCTGATGTGCAGTTTAATCTTGTTCTTTACCTCCGTGGTTTTTTAAAAGTTCAGTTAGCTTTCTGCAAGGGCTTTTTAACTCCATTTTCTCAAGTTGTTTGCTTATACTTCAGGTAACCTCTTGATATTTGTATTTTAACAATACATAATCTTTCTGAAAATAGATCAGGTTTTAGAATATAAATGAATTATTTGGTGTGGGGAAAGAGGGGCTGTATTGTTTATTGCAATTACTTGTGTCATACTCTTTCAGTATTGTTAAGCCAGTATAAACCTTTTGTCCATGTAGGGAAAGGTTTGCAATTTAAATATCAGGTAGTTTCTTTGCGAACTCAAAGAGTTTTACTTTCCTTTGGATGTTGTTTATATTCAATCAAGTTACAAAAAGTTTTTTTCTTTGCTGCCATACTCCCTCAAAGAAGAGAACTTAACACAGAATTTCTTTGTAAAGCATCCTCTACCTCTCAGCTGCTAAAAGCAGGACCTTTGGAATTTTTTGTGCTACAATTCTTATGGCTGCTGAAATGTGCGATTTTTATGATTTATTAAATAATTTCTTGGGAGGCATTTTCTGGAGATTGTTGTGTATGTATGTTCATATTTGCGCGTACAAGGTGAGGGAGGGCATGATAAAAGTGGGAACTGGGATATACATGGACTTCTATGTTCATAATCTTTATAGCACAAAACCCCTAAGAAATCTCTTCTAAACTAAAGAAATGCTGTAAATGGATTTGGTTTTCCATGGTTTTTTTTTTTCTGAATCATATACTTTGTATAATCCCTTTCTCTACAAATGTTTTTTGATCTTTATATTATGTGTATTTCCTGGGATAAGAGTCAGATAGCCTTCATTTCTGCTAATAAAAGTAATTGTTAGATCCTAAAGATGCAGCTGTGAAAGAAAAGCTTCATCTGTGGATAGAGCAAATTTATGTAATATGTCTTGACAATCAGTGATTTTTTTTAGGCTATTTAATTTCCAGAATACAGATAGTAAGGGATAACTATACATTTCTGTGATGACACTTGAGTAGGTGAGAACTCTTTAAAAAACTTTTTAAAGAGCACCAAAAAATTTCAGAAGAACCAGGTTTTAGGAAGAAGAGATGTGGTAAGGATCAAAATGGGCAAAGAGAATACAGTGAGTGGGATCTTTTTCAGATATATCCTTTGATTTAAGAAGCGGGTGGTCTTTGGCTGGGGAAAGCAGAAATGGGAGAAATGGGTTAGTTGTTTAGGTATTAGCCTAATATATTAGAACAGTAATGAAGGACTCTTCCTTCATATCGCCCAGTGACCTGAGTGAGACAGGTAGGAAATGCTAATGGTTGCATAGTTTTAGTTATTAGCACCAAAGACCTACATTTTACTTGGCATGAGGAAAATAACTTGAGCCATCAGAATGAACTAGGAACAGACAGCAGTCTTTTCATCTTAGTGTCAAGATGACTATCTTCACATTGTCACCTGGCCCCCTGGGGAGCTTGATGTCGGAACACGGTGTTCCTTCAGTCTGCTCTAGCATTTTTTTTTTCCTGTGCACAATCTCAGGTTCTCAGAGTTGAGAGTATTTTAGGTATTAGGAAGATTTGTATTTTTGTTTAACGGTGCTTTATCACATTGCCTTTTATGTAATATCTTCATTCCCTCTGTAGTTTGTTCTTAAGATTTGATTTGCTCCTAAAGAGGTAAATCTAAGAAAACAGAAAACATTAATTAACTAAATCTTCACATAATCTCTTCTATGCCGTTGAAGTTAGAGAAAATGTTGGCAGAAAAACCTTCATCACACCGGTGAATCAGGGCAGTTGCAGAAACATTTGGTAGTTAGAACATTATTTCCAAAATGCTGATCTGAGATCCAGTTTTCAGCTGACTGCAACACTACTTTGGTGACCTTTGATTCCATAGATACAGCATCGGGCTCAGGCATATTTATATTTTAAATGCTTTCGCCCGGGTGACTGAAATACGCGGCCAGGCTTCAGAACCACTTGAAAGACCTCAGATGGCATTCAGGCAGAGAGACCTTTCTATAGCTTTTTACCTCCACCTCTTAGTGAACTGTAACTTGTGTTCAGTATCACTGAGACAGACTAGTTGGCTTGCTCAGAAACTTATCATCACTAGGTGAGTACATTCAAATGAGTTAGAGATTTTTTTTTTTTTAAAGGTTTTATTTATTTATTTGACAGAGACACAGTGAGAGAGGGAACACAAGCAGGGGCGCGCCTGGGTGGCTCAGTTGTTAAGCGTCTGCCTTCGGCTCAGGTCTTGATCCCAGGGTACTGGGATCGAGCCCCACATCGGGCTCCCTGCTCAGCGGAGAGCCTGCTTCTCCCTCTCCCACTCCCCCTGCTTGTGTTCCCTCTCTTGCTGTCTCGCTCTCTCTGTCAAATAAATAAAAAAAAATCTTTAAAATAAATAAATAAATAAATAAAAGTAAAAATGGTAGCCATCTAAGATTATTCAGTAAGTCTATATATATGTTGAATATATAGTTTGTATTTTTATGTAATTAAAATATATTACATATATATAAAATGTATACTATAGGCCTTTTTGCTTCAGATATTAATGTTGCAATGTCCTATACTTCTTGTAATATCCCTGAATGTATGTGTAGAAACATACACACTTACTTTGATGGGCCCTGAATGTATGTGTAGAAACATACACACTTACTTTGATGGGTCCTTGAAACCCTGAGATGAACTTTCTCCGGAGAACACAGTAATGTTGACAGGGCTAATTTTCTAGCCCAATGAATATAAAACATTCTTTATAGTTAGAAAACAAGTTACTTTGGAAGCAGACAACAGTAATAGTTATACTGGATTAAATTATTTTAGAGGGAATAACAGTATGAATTATTTAAATACCTGTTTGACCGTGGATTGGTTGCTCACCCTTTGTTGAATAAAGGTGTCATGATTTACTTTACCTACTTGAATTACTTTATGTACTAGATTAAGAGATGCTTTATCTTTAGGGTATTGGCAGCTTTGTTTGTATGAGGAAGATTCTCTTGAGATGGAAAGTGAAGGTTTCTAAAATCATTGAAGGTTTCACTCATGAAACCTCACCCTCCTATATATGAAGAGACAGTCATTTTACAGATATTATATATGTACTTAGGATTTGTAATGTACTGTGCTGGTTTTAAACATAAATAAGATCTACTTTTTTTTTTTTAAGATTTTATTTATTTGAGAGAGAGAATGAGATAGAGCATGAAAGGGGGGAGGGTCAGAGGGAGAAGCAGACTCCCCGCTGAGCAGGAAGCCCAATGCGGGACTCTATCCAGGGACTCCAGGATCATGACCCGAGCCGAAGGCCTTAAGATACCAGACCTTAAGATACTACCAACTGAGCCACCCAGGCGCCCAAATAAGATCTACTTTCAAGAGATCATAGTATATGAAAGGGATATTCTGTTTAGCTGTTTTTCTGAGTATTTGCCTTACTTTTCCATAGATTTCCCAAGGGTTTCCTTTTTTTTTTTTTAAACTTCCTCCATTCCTTCTGAGCCATCTTTCTATTAATATTATTATTGTTATTGTTAGTCTATTTTTCTTTCCAGGACTGGCTTTGAAGGAGCACCTGATCTCCTAAGATTTCTCTGAAAATAAGTACACAGACATCTTTTGGGGGAGTTTATTGCAATTGCTTAGATATACTTTAACAAAATTCACTAATGGGGATCTTAGGAGCCTACCAGCTCCTCATAGTTTCATAGTCATTCACTTCCCCCTTATCCACTTATTACATGAGACCTCATAACTTTAAAGTCTGTGCATGAGGGTAGAGCGAATAAAACCTTGATCCCTACCTAGCACCCTTCTTAAAAATATGCTGGGTCCATTGGGTCTGTACTTGAGTTGTTTAAGGCAAAATGGGAGGATTTCATCTAAATGTTCTAAGTGAACATCTCTTGCTGCTGTTATTTCTTTGTTGAGTAGTGTAAGTTGAAACCATCCTCCCCTTTTTTCCTTTCCTTTCACCCATCCTCACTCCTTGTTCTTTCATATTAATTGCCCTCTTGTGTGTGTACCAGGCACTACACTAGACAATAGAATTGATGAAGAAAATGTCTGATGAATGTTGACTTTAACAATGTGCTTGGTGGTAGATACAGAGAATAGTAGGTTATAATGTTTTCAAGCCTTGACAATGTGGTGGGACATATACATACTGCATATGCAAGAAATCACAATATATCATGATGAATCTTAAAAAACAGGTTTAGACAGGGTGTTATAGGAGCCCAACAGAGGGAGGGTATCCAAACTGATAGGTTGACACAGAGGATATGGAGCAGTTTAATAACTTTTCCTAGAAGTGAATTGGTTAAAAACTAACTTATGAGGGAACTTTTGGAGTTAGTGTTCCCGTAATTCTTGTAATTAAAATGGGAGCATTGTGACCACAGCTACTTATTATTTTATTTTTTTCCAGAATTAGAGAGCATAAGGGTAGCCTCTCCAATAGGTAAAAAATAGTATCATGTTTGCCTTTCACCATTATTTGGCCTTCAGTTTTGTTGGAGTTGTCCTTGGGGATTTTTCTTGTCTTAAGGGGCAATTTATTATGTATCCAACAGCTCAATTTTTCTATATTTACAAATGGGAGGAGTATTAATATCTTACTAAATGGTATCTTTTAGTAAGAATATTTGTTAAAGGAATGCAAGGGAATAATAGCTAATATACCATTAAAAATAAAGTTGGAAAAGTTACACTAATGGATGTTTCTTCGCCCAAAGTAATCATGAAATTATTTTTAAAACTACCTGTTACATAATAGCATCCATTTGAGGGTCAGCATGAAATAGGCCACTTAGGAAGATAAGCCCCAAACTTTGGAAGATTAATAATCTACAGATGATACCATGATAAGAAAAATAAGTAAAACTTCCTGATTTTGAGAATGTTTCATAAATTAGTTTAGCCACTTTTTAGCATTTTACCAGGTAATACGCAAGTTTAGGACATACTTAATGAATTTGTAATGAACCAGTTACTTTACAGTGTGCTTCAGGTTGATGATACCTCATAACTTTATTATGAGGTATCATAATATTACCTTTTCAAACCATAAACTGTTACTCATGGGTATATCTTGAAAACTGCTTAATAAATGTAAAGCCAGGGGCACCTGGGTGGCTCAGTCATTAAGCGTCTGCCTTCGGCTCAGGTCGTGATCCCAGGGTCCTGGGATCGAGCCCTGCATCGAGCTCCCTGCTCTGCAGGAAGCCTGCTTCTCCCTCTCCCGCTCCCCCTGCTTGTGTTCCCTCTCTCGCTGTGTCTCTCTCTGTCAAATAAATAAAATCTTTAAAAAAAAAAAAGTAAAGCCAACTCTTGGCACTTGAACATAAAGGAATTATTCCTAGATTAAAATTGTTCCTAGGGAACACCTGTTTGGCTCAATCAGTAAAGCCTGCAACTCTTGATCTCAGGGTCATGAGTTCAAGCCCCATGTTGGGTGTGGAGCTTATTTAAAAAAAAAATTTTTTTTTTGTTTCTAGTATTACTTTGTTTTTCCTTTTCGAAATTAGACATTCCTCATATCTTACACGATACTGCACATGTAGAGCCCAGCTAGCCTTTAGGATTCAGTCACCCAAAAGATAAATTCCAGGCCCCAAATTGTTAACTGGAAATTTATTTCTAATTGTTTTTGTTTAAAAGAAATGCAAAGTTACTGGAGACTTTGGTATTTGTACCTTTTACTCTCTTTTCCCAATGGCTTCTGGCTACAAGACAGTGTGAGGGGACAGGGTCACCCTGTGTATATCAGGAAATTATATTTGCTAGTTAAATCAGGTAAGGCATTATCTTTGTCTGAAGACCACCATTTGTTCAGTATGGGGCTTAGGTTCCAGACACCAGACCTTAAGATACTACCAAAGGGTGATTTCATGAATCTGATTTGGACCCCAATTACATATAGGGGGTATTTGGGGTAATTATTGTTAAACCCTTTTTAACAAATATGCTACCTCATAGAATTGGCAGAATCTAGTATTGCTGTATCATATTCTGAAAACTATGGCCTAGAAGCTCTGTGTCTATTTGGTGTAATTTAATGCTGCTTCCCTGATCTTTCTGCTATCTACAGAGCCAGAGTCCAGAGGTGGAGCAGTTAGGGAGGGTTGTGGAACTGGACAGTGACATGGTAGATATCACCCAGGAGCCAGTTTTGGATTCCATGTTAGAAGAGAGCGTGCCTGAGGATCAGGAACCTGTGTCTGCCTCAACACACATTGCATCTTCACTGGGAATTAATCCACATGTCTTACAGGTGAAGTCCTAACCCACCCTTACTATAATAGGAAGCCAAACTAATCTTTATCTCCCTTTCATAACCTTGGGCTTCTTCCTTGATTATTCACTGAAGAGCATTGAGTGGTCATTGGGGTGAGGAAAAAAACAAGAATATGGCCCATATTCTGGGAGGGAAGGGGAAGGCTATATTGAGATTCATTAGACCTGGATTCTAATCCTGGTTTTATAACTATTACTATGTGACTTTAGGAAAGTCATTTAACATCTGTGAGCAGATTTTTCTCTATAAAATATACTTTGTTTCCTTCATAGGGTGGTTTTGAGGCTCTAGAAAAGTGCTCCATAAAAGTTTTTTAATAGCCTAGTAGATACAGGTTTCTTTAAACTCTGTCTCAACTTCCCCCTACCTATGCCTTTTGGCATGTCATAAGTTGAGCCTTTGTCTTATTATTTGGAGTTAATCATTCAGCAAACAGGTGAGCAATTGCTGTGTGCCACGTTTTGGCGAGACTCATCTAAAGAGGAGTATTCTATAATTTCTACCCTTCGGGCACATGCAGTGTAATAGAGTCAGCCACACAGATATTATACTGGCTCTGGACACAGCCTTCAGACAAAGCGATTTATTGGTTATTGGAAACTGCATTTTTCTTTTATGGCCTTTGGATTTGGGGTAGCACATTCATTCTGTAGATATTGCCTTTTTAGATCATGAAAGCATCATTGCTTGCTGATGAAGAAGATGTAGATATGGTTCTGGATCAACGCTTCAGTCACCTTCCTTCTAAAGCAGATACTTCTCAAGAAATCTGTTCTCCCAGACTCCCCATTTCAGCATCCCACTCATCAAAATCCCGTTCTTTAGGTACTGTAACTGATGCTATTTTATGAGAAAGCTGTAAAGTCCTGCTTTTTGCCTTTTAAGATGAGTCAACTTCTCTAGCGAATATCCCCCTAAAGGCATATGACATAAGGATGCCAAGAGGAAATGTACTCTTATAAATATGTTAGGTGGGCAGTTTTTAAAAACCACAGTCAGCTTTATTGGTGCAGATGCAGAAGTTGTATGGAGAACAAAGCATTTGTGTTTTGTTCAGGTTATGTTTTTATTTGCTTGTAAATGGATTAGATAGTAAGCTCAGATTTTCTAATTTTTATCACACCTTAGAGGAATGAGCGAGTTGTCCTGCACTGTACTCTTTTTGTGCAATCCTCATGCTATCCTTATTTTATAGCCTTCTGGGGGCAAATGTTGCTTCTTAAAACGCACAGAACTTGTCAGATTTCTGCCTTTTCCTAAACCTCCCCAAATTCTTAGGGAAGTAATATTTGATTTTAAAGCTTTCCCTTTTTTCTTGTGGGCTTGTAACTGTGTGGGATTAGGGATAGAGTATTGATGTCAACAAATCTCAAAACAAAGCCAGAGGAACTATCAGGAAGAGATTTGTTTATGTTGCCTTAAAAACTAAGTGTTTCGTTTTCAATTCTTTCAGGTGCCCTTATTAACTTCCTTTTAAAAAATATTTTAACTAGGGCGCCTGGGTGGCTCAGTTGGTTAAGCGACTGCCTTCGGCTCAGGTCATGATCCCGGAGTCCTGGGATCGAGTCCCGCATCGGGATCCCGGCTCGGCGGGGAGCCTGCTTCTCCCTCTGACCCTATCCCCTCTCATGCTGTTTCTCTCTC